TAAACTCTCACAAGAAAGTGACCCGCTTCCTGTACTGCCAGGAGATGGCAACCCTGATGCCCAAAGGTAGGGAGGGAGCCTCACAAGTGTGAGTGTGAGTGACCCACCAACCCTCGCTTTCACAGTTCTGGATTACAACAGGCGACGTTTATCAGCCTCCACTGAGAGGGTCACGTGTTCAGCGTCAGTGTCCATCTCTGTGGTGTTTGTGACCCCCACGCGTGTCCAATGGGAGCAGAGACCCTAGGTCATGAGCCTGTGGAAGTGAGAGGTGGTGGCCCCACCACCGATGCGTGAGCGTGGTGGCGGTGGCGGCGGTGGTGGTGGTGGTGCGACCATGGACGGGCGCTCACGCCGATGCCTGCCCCAACAGGTGGCCACCTCGCCTTGCTGGCTCCGGGGAGACAGATTCTAATTTAGTCCTCGAAACGTTTCTGAGAAAGCTCTTTAATGTTACATCATTTATAAAAGTGAAACTTCATTACAGCGGCAACTGTTTCTGTACTCCTCTCAACTCAGAGAGAGGAGGTAATTCGATTAATGTAACAATTTAGTTTCGTCTGATTGCAAAGTGAATGACAAAGCATAGGTGATGGGTTTGTGCTATCCAGACCACTCTATCCAGCTCACCTCACCACACAGGTGTTCCACCTTCAGGTTTTGTCCAAGAGCTGGATATGGATACGGTTTGCTTTACAGTGGGTGCTATTTTTAAATTCTTTTTTCGGTAAAGAAGGGGGGTGGGGGATTAGTGTGGGAGAGCGATGTACACCGGTCAGCAACGTGAGCTGTTACACTAAAGGGCTCAGCCTAAAACTCTGAGATCTCCGTTAGCAAGAGGGCAGAGCTGCTGCGCTCAACTGGACAGGGGGGAGCAGGACTCTATGTTACTCACGAGCTGCAAAAAAGGATGAAACTGACGTGCAAGTGTCTTGTTACTTTTCTGCTGCAGTATTTATAAATGCCTCGTTTTAGATCGATAAGGCTGATGACTACGGCACTGCTGCACGATACGAGCAAGCACTGTGAGTTTGCAAAGGGTTTCCAAAGTGTCGAAGCACTTAAAAAAAGTGGTGCAGCCAACTATATTTTATCCTGGCCTGTATCCCACAAATCACGTCCAACATTAACCAGGCTTGAATGTTGAGTAGCATCAGTGTTGAAGATGTCCAGTGGCTCGTGATGTGACTCGAGCCAACGACGTCAATCATGAGTTCTAAGTATCCTAGGAACTCATCGAGTAACCACCCTGAACAAACGTGCAATGAAACATCAGTTTAACACGTAGGCTTGAGCGACCAATATCATCCATAAAGAGGTTTTTTTGGGTTAGATTGCGTGAATATAAATGTGTCTTTAGACCTGCCACCACCTGACAAGACAATTAGTCAATTTTGTCACGTAAACAAATCATGTCGATTAGTTACTACATCAGCAGACTGGTGTGCTGGAGAGGAAACCCACAAATGTTGTTGTTGAAGAGTAAACTCACAAATATTGTGGGTTTACTCTCTAACACACAGGTTAGTGCTGAACTAGTTACTAATAAGCACGTTTTGTTTACGTGACAAACTTTACTAATTGGCTGCGTCAGGTGGTGGCGGGTTTAACGACACATTTATATATTTACGCGACCTAACCCAAACAAACTATATTATGGTGAATGAAAACATCTTGACATTGTTCTTATTTAAACATTTCAATGTTTCTGTTGATCTCGGCCAGCTGAACGTACTCCTCTGCTTTGACCACTGCTGGACTGCTGCCAGTAAAACTGCTTTCATTCATTGCTTGGGATCACCTCACGTGAAGGTTGTTGACCAAATCCAGACAGATTTCTCAGTCAGCCTAGGTCTATCCAAACGGTGGCGTTAACTGCTTTACAGTTCAACAGAATTACCACCAGATTTTGGCACAAACCAAAACCTGCTACCCAAACACCTACCTCTACCTCACGTTTTGTTTTGGTTCCTCTTCAACCGACTAAATCTGCTGCTTGAGCCGGCCCTTCCATCTCTCACCCCCGTGGGAAATCTAGAGGCTCCTGTGCCATAGTACAGACGATTTGTCTATAAACTTGGGCTGAAGTTTCATGCTCTAATCAGACCAAATCATAATTAGTGGGCAATTCTTAGCAGAAATATTTAATGGAGTATGTACGATTAAATAATAATAATAAATAATAGATTTCGCACACCACAAATACAGAACCCCCACATATATATCGAACATTGCGCAAAGCTGCATTGTGATTTGCGCTGGAAGCGCGCCGAATCCTCGTGCCATGCGAGTGGAGCCCACGTGCTCACGGTGCATCCACGCGTGCGCCGCGTTCACACTGCAGCCTACCGGGCAACGTGCACGTGTCATATATTTAGCTCAAACTGAGTTACGTGCACGAGCAGTAAGAGCGTATGCTAACCTGGAGTATTAAAGATTACATTTATCCCCACATGATAATTTCTGGGACAACAGTGGATCATATGGACCCTGATTAGCATCAAGGTCACAATGACCGTCACAGCACAAAGCGCAATTGAGGTCAATAATATTGGCTGAATCGTTTTAGGCCCAGGCCTTTCTCTCTTTACACTTTACAGTATATACAAACATGTATAAACTATTATTTTTTAAGTGTTTTAAAAATGTTAAAACCTATTATCGTCCGACCAAAAGTGTAAAACACAGCAGTGATCGTGGAATCAACAAATTACAGTTATTACCATTATGTACACCGAAGGTTTACATAAATTATTCACGAAAAATCAATTTTAAGAATTTTTAGAAAGCACTTTTTGTAAATGGACCAACCCCAGACGTAGGTCTCAGTAAGCCTAAGTTTATTATCAACACTGTGCAGTCTTTACCGTGAAGAAGTTCAACACAATACCGGTACCAAGCTGTGGTACAAATCAACTCCTGCCACCCAAACACAGATGCCGATTCCCGGACTGCACCGGGTCAAACTGCGCCATGCTGCGGGTCACAACTGGACAAGTAGCAACCATACATGGCGACCATGTTTGTGTTTCCCAACCCTATAGTACGGTGGTGAATTTCAAATTCAAGACCATGAAAAACTACAAATATTTGAAGGAAAGCGATATATAAATGCCTCCACATCCACTTGCAAGGAGTGAAACATGAACTGAAGCTGACAGTGAGAGAGCCACAGTGGGGAGGCAACACTACAGTGACAGTTATTTGCAATGTGTATTTTTGTGGACTGGTGACCAACACGCTGCTCTCTTCCACAATGTCTCACGTGTGGGGGAACTCTCAATAACACCACGGTGGCAAGTAAGTTAAATCGACATCTTTGCAGGCAAACGTTTTATCCCTCGCCAACAAGGACGTGCACTCTTTCAAGCGCTTGCAGATTCAGAATTTAAAAAAAACAAGCGTGCTTGACGGTGGACTGTACAACTGTCTTAGATAAAGTGCAGGAAGCAGGCTACTTGGTAGCGACCAACCAACCACAGGAGCAAGCAGGGTTCAAGGAACGGTTTTCTCTACCGCCGATCACATGCTTTCACCCTCTCAATAAGATTCTGCAAAAGACCAATATATTTAAATTACCATTGTGGCTGGCCTTTACAGACAATAAAATACATAATAAAATACAACTGACTCTGTGGAAATTAATGCAATAATTCAAGCTCTTAAAAACCGAGGCCTGAAACAAGCAATATCTCAAAATAGCAAAAAAACATCTACAAAAATGTAACCGTTACACTAATATTTTATGATCACATTTTTTAAAATAATTACATGGGGAGTCAGTTACGCATGAGAAAATGTTTTCCAAAATTGTTTTTGTCGTGTTACCCTCCACCACCTAACACAGCCAAAGTATTTATTTTTACAAGTACAGGCATTTTACACGCAAATAATTACTGCTTGATCTCACCGGTAAACTGAAGAGCAATTCTCACAAAGTTAACATGTAAATCAATACATGCGACGTTTGACTTGAAACTGTGATGCATCCCCAAGAAGTGAAACGAAGAAGTCATAACTTCTAGATTTGAAGCTTTCGTGACTGCAAGGATCCATACTCTTTGGTTCTATTTGGTAAAGTCACGTAGGTAAAAAATAAAACAACAAAAATCACGACGTTTCGGCCACAACACAAGCGGCCTTCATCAGGTGAAGGGACCAGACTGTCTCGAGGACAGCGCTGGAGTGAACACAGCCAAGCTCAGACCGCGACCTTTAAGGTGTGTGAGAGGAATTAAGGTGCCTTGACAAAGGAATTAGCATAAACATTAGCATTTAATTGGCGGACTTAGAATGATGAACGGTGTAGAGGGGGTGAACATTTGCAGGCCGGCGAGGGGGGGAGGGGGAGTTTACATATTTGTGGTGTGAAAAGGGAATTTTAAGAAGCTGCGAAAGTTTGGGGTACCACTACTTGAAAAAAATATACTGTACCATTGAAAATTAGTTAAACTATATACTGTACCTACGGACTTTACCGAATAGAACCAAAGAGTAAGTCATAACTTGACGAGTTTAAACGCTTGTTCACGTGACAAATGTATTTGTTTGGCCATGTCAGGTGGTCGCCTCAGCCAAGGTTTAATTATGAATAATTTAAGCACTTAATATGCTGGTTATATAAATATATACAATTTTAACTTAATTGTCTAATCAATTTCACAATACACGACATTGTATTTTACTGCCTCTTTATCTGTCATGTCAATTTGCTCAGGGGCATGAGCACGCACACACACAAAAATTGTCTTTATTTTCTCAAGTGTATACCATAGTCTATGAGATATCAACGATTTACAAAGTAATCTGTGCTTTGCTGTAAACATGAGAGGCGCATTATAAAATTACAAGATTGATGGTGGCGGCGGTGATTAAGCACTGACCAATGGGGGCTTCATCTAAGTTGTACAAGCGATGTCGGCAACTGCCCACGGCTCACCGCTGGTGAAGATGCCGACCTTTTCCCTTCACTCACCCACTGCCTGGCAATGTAACCTCACCTTGCATCTCAGCGGCAACATCTCCAGAGCTCATTCCCAGCATCCGTTCCTTCCAGTCCTTGGCCAGAAGTTGCTCCACACAGGAGGCATCTGGGGGCACAATCATTTGGGTCGTCATTAAAGCCCACAGCTCAGAGACATTGTCACACTATCACACAAGTAACATGACAGTCATTATTTCAAAACTTAATTCCCCCGTGATGACTCATGAAACAGATAAGACAAATCAAGGTAATTAAACCAAACACGACAAGATGATTCATATTCTTGGTTCTTTCGGTAAAGTCACGTTGAAGCGAAACAATAAAATAATAAAATATATCTAAAACAATAAAATTCTCGCCTGATGATGACTGCTTGTGTTGCAGTCGAAACGTCGTGATAATTTTATTGTTTTATATATATTTTATTCTTTTATTGTTTTCCTTCAACGTGACTTTACCGAAAGAACCAAGAATATGAATCACTGCAGTCACGAAAGCTTTAAATCAACGACAAGGTGAGTTGAAGCTATTGCCATTTATAATAGAGGGATATTAATTACCATGTAATAGCATCATGTGTGTATGCGTGTTGAACTTATTTCGCACCATACATAGCCAACCGTGCCAATCGGAGGTGCAACAGGGTCGAAAACTGTCCCGCAACACCAAATGCACTGATAGAATGCACAGCCCTTTGGCAGTCTTACTCATGGTGGATGAAGGCCTTCCCAAGGCATGCGGTGAGTGGGTGTTGTTTGACCATACTTCACCATGCTGTGTAGTGTGGGTTTTGTAAAGGTGGGAAACATAGACGCAGAAATGCAGCACAATGATCGATTTTATTGCAGTGCCCTCCACAGCCCACAACAGCTCCAGTGCCTATGGCACCTGATATGCAGGGTGGTTACCCCCATCATCGTGCTCTATCCAGGCTCACCCTCCTGATTAGCTTCTGTTGTTCAGGACAAAGCGTTAAAGTTAAGTCATTGATAATGTAATGGCGATAATGATTAATCTGTGGCATTCATAATGCAACGTCTTGGGCTTGTTTTTCCCAGTTCCTGTACAATGCATTTTTACTTTTACTAATCTTAAACCGAGAATCACTATACCTGGAAATGGCATCATTTTCCATGACCTCACTCATTTCTATTCTAGGAAATGCATTAAAACGCATTGTTTGTCTAAAGAGGTACGTTTTACCTGCATCCAGCTACGCTGAAAATTGCGCTCACGCTACCAGCTCCACAGCCGTGGCACGGCGGAGCAAATTAAACCGTGCATGTATGTATGCATGTATGTATGTATGCATGCAGAACTTATTTCGCACCGTATGTAGCCAGCCATGCTAATCGGAGGTGCGGGCGAAGAACAACAAACTAAACACAAAAGCAATTCGAAAGAAATTAGTTTTCAATCTAGATCCCGGTGGCTCGCTAATATCAGAAGCAAGAGCGTTCCAGACGGCTGCAGAATCGCATCTCAAAGTGCCGCGTGATAATGCGGCGACCACCGTCTTTGAAGCGGCACAGCGGTGATGCGCCGGAGCTGTGCATCCTCAACTTTGCAGCCTCACTCCAAACGGCTTCAAAATAAGTTTGACGTTCTCCCTCTCCTCTGCACGGATTTTCTCCGAGTTCTCCAGCTTCTTCCCACAGCCAAACACGGATAAAATAATCGGGTGTTGGCCAAAAATCCCATTGAGGCAGGGCTCTCCTGGGTAAGTAAGTAATTAAGATGACTATACCTATTTCACACGTACAAACATGTTGTTTCTCAAGTGAGCAGCACTGTGTCACAGCCATGTGGGCAAACAACAAATGAGCTCGCAGCTCTCCACACTCATTAACGCCGACGACAAGATAAACCGTTGTACATCTGCGCAGCCCCTCGGCCTCACGGCTGTGGAAGAGTGCGCTCATTTCTATCTGCCTTGCAGCCTTGAGTGGCACAGAAGTGGCATGTTAGCTCCTCACCGCACGCATTCTCCCACGCAAACCGTAATCTTGTAGACAGGTGGGCATCTGCCTGTGGACATTAAATACGCAGTGGGTACGTACGTATGTTGAACTCCTTTCACACCGCAAGTAGCCAACCGTACTAATCAGAGGTGTGTTATGTGTGCCCATGTTGGCTATTCTGCGAAGACACGCGTGGCAAAATGCCACTATCTCGGCCACACGTACGTGTAATTCAACTCTTCCTGAAAACAAGACAGATGCTCTTCGCGTTAGAGATGCCCTCGTGGTCGCCACGCTTGCACTGGGCGCAGCTGCCCAGTCAGTTGTTTGCAAACATGCACCATCAGGCGTAAAGTGAAGGTTAGAGACTTTGTATCATCATTATTATATTATTATTATTATTCACATGAATAAGTTACGACATTCGTGGGGCCACGGCTACGGCCGTCACCTGCCTGGGTCTGAGCCGGTACACTCCGGGAATTGGCGTCTGTATTCAGGTGGCAGGAATCGATTAGTCCCGAGATCTGGTACCAGTATTGCTGTGTTGAACTTCATCACAGTTTACTGCCCAGTTCCGATGACGGACCCAGTGCTGACTGAGAATTGTGCGTGCGGGTTTTGGTTTAGAGTGGAAAAAGGTAAAAACACGTGCCGCGGCCCACATCCTAAATATGACCATAATGCACTGCAGTGCTCAATCTTCTTAGATTAACAACTTCCTCTCCGCGACGACACATTTCACTCACTTCAGTACAAGTGACACTGATGTGCCTTGCTGATCTGCAAAGTCTCAATGTAAACACTGAATTCTGCCTGCGATCAAATGAAGTCAATGCATCATACAACTAACATGTGTGTATATTCTTGGTTCTTTCGGTAGTCACATAGGAGGGAAACAATAAAATAATAAAAATATAAAACAATAAAATCCTCACGACGTTTCGACTGCAACACAAGCAATCATCATCAGGTTTTCACACCTCATCATCAGGTTTTCACACCTAATGATGAGTGCTTGTGTTGCAGTCGAAACGTCGTGATAATTTTATTGTTTTATATTCTTATTATTTTATTGTTTCCCTTCTACGTGACTTTACCGAAAGAACCAAGAATATGAATCCCTGCAGTCACGAAAGCTTTAAATCAAAATGTAACATGTGTGTCTGTTTATCGACACCCTGCACACTCTTGCACACGACGTGTTCCGTCTCATGGGATTTCCCACGTTAAATACGTCTTAAAGAAACCACCGTGACATACACAAGTTTCATATTGATTTGTGATCATTAAAAGCTATAAATACTCGCATACTTGTTGTGCTATAAGGTATTCACCCTCCAGCGATGGCACAGTGATTAGCACCTCCAGGTAAGAACCCGGCCTTCTCCGAGTTCAATTCCTGGTCACGGCTGACGTCAATGGCGAGAGCAGCATGTGAAATCATCCTAGTCCCCACACGTTCACGGACCCGCGCCGACCAGGGTGGTCGAGTACGGTGAAGCAATCTCCACGACCAACGTGACCTACCGAGGCCGTTATCCAGCAGTGGACTGAACAAAACGATGTTCGTGAGTGACCACTAACTTCAGCAGGGCATTTGTTTTTGCTCCGATTTCCATTCGCTTCTTTGATGTACTCTGTTATAGGCTGTTGCTTTTTGTCGTTTTGGTGAGCCAGGCCACTCTCGTTATCCTGTTTCCGCGAGTCCTCACCCTGGTTGCACAAACTAAACTTGAAACGTAATCGTCACCGTCAATTAATTGATGTTGTTACATCATGGGAGCTTGATGGGAAAGCCTCAGGCAGGGCAACAGGATGGTGCAAACTCAGTCACAACCATCTCTGATCTTACACGTAAGTTTAACATTCTCTCACATAGCTTGGTTATATTTATTAAACCTTGTAAAATATGATGTACAAGCTCAGTAGGAGTTAACTTCAACTCAACATACAATGTAAATACAACATTTAAAATTAACTACCATATTATATATATTACTATCCCCGACAGATCTATGCAAAGTCTGAACACAAACTGTATCTCAAGATGACATGGTGCTGTACAACTACAGCTAGGGTGAAATTACACGAACATTAGTGGGGGGGGGGGGGGGGGGGGGGGGTGGGGGGGGGGTAGAGGCGTCTGATTACTCTCAGTCGATTTAGAAGGTTGTAACGATATCCATGTAGGGATCGCCACCTTTCTCACTGTAAACCAGACCCAGACAGATTCCTTCAGTCAGCCTGGGTCTATCAATACTCTGATGAAGTTCAACACAATGATGCCAGCAACAGATATCGGGATACAAATCAATTCCTGCCATCCAAACACAGATGCCAGTTCCCCGACTGTCCAGGTAAAACTAAAGACAGGTGACAACCCTAATCCGCATACGTCAACTTGATTAAGAAGGATGAGAGAGGCACGTGTAAGAGTTGGACGTAAGGGTTCATGAGTTTGAGCAGAAATCAAATTCCCTTACACTTGCACGTGGCAGGAAAATGGAGTCAGTTGTGAGTTTAGCTGACATCATGGACACATTTATAAATAACGCGATCTAACCCAAAAACCTTTATTATGAATGACATCATGGAGTCCAGAGAGGGCAGCAGCGGAGATAAACGGGTAGCCGATGAAGGGGTTTGGAGATAAAAACGGTGCCTGTTAGTAGTAAGGGAATGTAATGAGAAGCGTATGAGATTATCCTGGCCTCTTGAGTTTTCACCTGGTTAAACAACATAAACTTCAATTCAACCAAAATCCCAATCACCGATTTAGTTCATTGTGGCCTGATTACAAGCAGGCACACCGCAGCAAGAAAACAATCTGTCAGAGACAGATTGTACATGCGTACAAACACGTCGAGTCAGAAGTTGTTATATTTCACTGGGTGATTAGGTGGTCGGCACTTCCCCGTCGTGCATTATAGACACTCCCTACATGTGATTGTGGCCCCAGTATTAACGACCTCACACAGAAACCCTCACAGAGTAAATGCTAGAAGTGATTCATGTAAAAATATGAGAATGTCATCATCAAAACACTGTAATGCGCACACAGGACTGCCGTCAGTACCACTGTGGGTCTGCCGGCTTGAGTTATCACGAACGCGCCGATCCACCGCCGTCGTTATCCAACACC